CTCCCCACTGCAGAGCTGAGCCTTAGCCCTCAGTCTTTCACTGCTTCCTGTGTATAGAGACAGAATAACCAGATGGTGCACGTTCCTGCAGCTGTGACTTCTTCATCATGGTGGACTGCAACCTGTAACTATAAGCAAAAATAAAATCTTCCTTCCTTCCTTCCTTAATTTTTTCACATAATTTTTCACAGCAATGAGAAGAGTAGCTCATACTCAGCCTAAGGTAGACGGAAGGGAAAAGCTGGGCTAGAGTGGAATCAAGAGACAGTATAGACAAAGAGTGTGGGCACATTAGGATAGGCCACAATTAAAAAATGTTGTAAGAGAAACAGTTAAATGACTAACTGCCATTTATTGCCTTCTTCTAGTTTTTCTGAACTCTGTTCATACTTAACAGGGAAGCCATAACTGACAGACCAGAATGTGCTATAGCAGTCAGTCTAAAGTCAACAGTATTTTTTTTTGGTAACAACTGGTAGGTTTATTCTAATATTTATATAGAAATTCAAAGAATCTAGGATAGTCATAACAAGTCTGACAAATGACACATTTGTTTACCTCCAATGACTTTAAAAACTGTAACATTACAGTAAGTAAAACAATATTACTATAGAGAAATCATACAACCCAGGAACTCTAATAAGCATGACTAGCTGTTTTGGGTAAAGACATCAAGGCAATTTGGTAAAGGATAGTCTTTCGCAAATAGTGCTGGGATGACTGGATATCAACGTTAGCCTACTTACCAACGTTCTCCATACTTTTTACCACGTACAAAAATTAACTTTCAGAAGAAAGCAAGGGAGACAATCCTTGTGTTCTGAAATTAGACAAAAATTCCTTACATATATCACAGGACTCATAAAAGAAAACAATTAATTGGACTTTACCAACACTAAGAACTCTGTCTTAATTACATTTTTCTTTATTCTTCAGAACTTTATACATGTATACAATGGTATATAATCATAATCATCCCCCATTTTCCTCTTTCCATTCTGCTCAATGTATCTCCCTCCCAACTTCATGTCCTCCTCCTCCCCCTCTCCCTCTCCCTCATCCTCTTCTTCCTCCTTCTTCTAAGTTCAGTTGGTATCACCATTATATGCATGGGTACAGGGCCATTCTCTGGAGTACAGGAAACCTGCAAGTGGGAACTCTCTCAGACTGATTCTTTCTCCCTCAGCAGCTATCAACTGCACCACATTATCAATAGCACCTCATTAAGGGGTAGGGCCTAAAGAACATCTCCCTTCCCTATGCCAGAATTTTAGTTGGCTTGATCTTGTTAAGTAGTTGAACAGGTAATCATAGTTACTGAGTTGATGAGATGATAGTCATGTCATGCCATGTCCAAAAGACAGCATTTCATTGCACTCCTCCACTTGCTACAGCTCTTACATTCTTTCTGCCTCCTCTTTGGAGATGAGCCTTGGCTGGGAGGGGAAGATAGTTAAAAAAATTATCCATTCAGGGATGATCAGTCTTATATTTTCAGTATGTTCATCAATTATGTGCCTTTGCATTGTTACCTAGTGAAAAAAGGAAAAAAGAAGCTTCTCTGACCAAGGTTGAGAGCAGCCCAGATCTATGGGTATAAAGATAATGTTTAGAAAGCAATTTGAAAGCATGACCATTTATCAAAATAACCACAGGAGGTTCTGCCCCCAGGCTTATGACCTTCTTAGCCATGAACTTTTGACTAGGATTGTAGTAGCAGGCATGAAATTTCCTCTGATGGAGCAGACTTCAAATCCGATCAGTCAGTTATCTTATAACAGAGGCGACACTACTGCACATCTTGCCAGGCAGAGAGGTATTGTCATGTGCAGTGTTGAATTCTGGGTACGATCATTGATATCCTTCCTCCCTCAGCAGCCTTCATAGCATCTTCTGGTCCTATGAAAGCTACGCAGAAGGTAACATTTCCTCATCTGTTTGAGACTGATTCTCTACACTTGTACCTTCAGCAATAGTGCCTTACCGAGTAGTAATGGTGGGGAAGCAAGGCCAATAACAACAACCTGTACTGTTCTGAAGACCTCTGGAGGTGTTCTGTGCCTTTTGCTGAAGTCTTCATTAAACAACTCATGTATTCTGTGACTGATATTGTCTATCCATGTTTGGTAATTATTTTCAAACTCTTCAAAATAAAGAATTCTTGATTTTGGGGAAAAATTATTAAGGTGAAAAGGTAAGTTGCAGCCTGGGAAAACAAATCCAAGTTATTTACTGATAAAGGACATTCAAATTCATTGATAAGCCATAAAATGGGTAAAACATTTGTGTATAATTCACCAAAGATGGAGACAAATGAGAAAAAGGAAAGATTTTCTGTGTCATCTATCATGAAGAAAATGAAAATTAAAGTCAACATCCATGCCAGATCATGTCAAAAACTTGAAAATCTGAGTGTATGAAATATTATCAAGATGTGTAATAATCAGAATAATGCTAGTAAGGTACAAAGTACCCAACCACACTGGAAACAGTTGGGCAGTTTCCCCCAAAGTACAACACAATATGCATTTTGGCTTTCAGCCTCCACTACAGAGATGAGCCCTGTGTTCACACAGATTGCCCAGGTCCATAAGAGCTTTGTAACAGCCAAACATTGGAAAGGAGCCAAATGTCCATCAACCAGGGTATATATATATATATATATATATATATATATATATATATATATATATGTGCTGATGAATTTTCTAATCAGGAATAACTATTTGGAAATGAACATTTGATACATGCAATAGCATGCTTGAATATTGGAACACTTGTGGGAGGTGGCAGAAGCTGGGTATGGAGGAATGCACATCACTTTGGCCTGGAGGGGAGGCTGTGTTGGGTGTGAGCTGGGATGTTCTGTGTCAGGGAGTGGCACTTGAGATCTGGAGTGAGAATGGAGTTTTCCCAGCTGTGGCCAGCCTCTTCATCCTCATTTCCTGGCAGCCTGATCTCCCAGGATAGGCAGTGAAGGGCTTTCCTCTGTTGTTCCTCCACAGCACCAGATCCCGTGGCTAGCTCTACCAAGGTCTTCTCCCATCCTTATCATCCTGGGCATGGTGGCAAGCCCTGGAACCTGCTGTCTCCTTTCCTGCAAGAGGCTACCCTGCATCCTAAACTGTGAATGAGAGCAGTGCTCACACTAGTATGGTAAACAAACTGGACTCCATGGACATGTAGGGTTTTTTGTTGAACCCTGAAAAAGGGGGACCTTGGAGCACTGAAAATACTTTTAGTTAGTATAGAAAATAATATTCTTAAATATATAGAATTTTACTCATATTCACCCCATCAAATTTTTTTTCCCTTCTATCCCCTCCTGTTGGTCTCCTTTAATTCAAATAGTCACCTACAGCTTTCATGCTGTGTATAAGAACTTGTGTTCACCTGAGTCTGGCTTATTTCACATAGCATGATAACCTCCATCTATCCATTTTCATTTGTATGTCATTCTTTGCTTGTTTAACACAATGAAGCTACTTGTGTGTACTTACATTTTCTTTATAGACTGTCCTTAAGATTTCACCCATCCAGATCAGATCGTATTCTCAGAACCACCTGACCCAAACACTGTCAACCACTTTGGAAATTACTGAAGTGTACTGTCCTACTTTGTGTTTTGAAAGTTTACACAGTTTACACAAACTAACTGGGGGGACATTTTGTCCCTTGTGGGTGCACTGTTATCAATAAATGTGCTTAATTTTTGAAGGCCCAAGGAATTTCACTTGTGTACATTTTATGTACAAAAGTATATATTGTGGTTTGCGCTTCTTCACATAAGATGCTTATGGGGGTTGAGGAAACATAGTTTGAAGGAATAATTTTCTCAACATTAATTTTATGAAAAACTTTTGAAAAATTAAAACATAAAGGGACAAAAAAAAAAAAACCTGCTGGGAAAGGAGGGGCATGAGGAAGCAAATGCAGAGGGAAGGATTTAGGGAAGTTGTATGTACCCCAAAGGCATTGAAGATGGACGTTGACGAGTATGTTATAGATGATTTTGTGTCTTACTTGCTCTCCTAGATGAATGGAAATGTGTTTGAGAGCAAATTGCTTTAATACAGTGGCTTTTGGAGTGAAGTAAGGACCTGGCCTCAGAAGTGTGAGAAGAAACAGGTCTGTGTCAGACTCTGTTTCATACTTTAAATGAATTGTTCCTTTTATGCCTTAAACCCTTTTGAAGTATGAGGACAGCCTGGAGATGTACAGCAGCTTGTTCTGGAGCGACTGCTGTGCCCCAGAGCCAGCGTGACACCAGAGGCCTCACCTGCTGCCGCCAGCACTTTGTTTGCTGAGTCCTCTACCTTGGATGCTGCCAAAGTGTGATAGGGCACTGCAGTCATCTCAAGGGCATGGTGGGGGTTTGTTTGGTCTAGACCCAAATGCTTGGATAGACCAAGCATTCCAGAGAACTGGGGTTTGGAAGTGAGCCACCACCCCTTTACCTAGGACTGGAGGGGTCTCCAGGATACAGCACTTTCGCTTTAGAAGCAAGACAAGCCAGAACTACAGTTCGGTGGTAGAATTTGCTTAGCTTGCATAAGGCCCTAGGTTCAAAGCCAAGGTAGCAAAAACTAACCTACCAACCAAAATCCAGAAAGAGGTGGTCTTACCCTGTTTTCAGCAGAGGCCTTGTCCCTTGTGATAAGCGTTTTCTGTCTCCACGGCCCTTAGAATGGACCCAGTTTACTGTTAGGCCATAGTGGTGAGATGGCTTCGAAGGCAAATGAGAAAGGAGACAATGTTCTTTTTTATTGCTCTTTTATTGCTATGCTATCTAAATGTCAGGATCACTAGGCAGAATGTTTCCAGCCTTTTCTACCTTCCATTTCCAGTTGCAAATAGTAGCCTATGGTTGGATGGAAATGGTACGTTTATGATTGGGTGGACTTGTTGGTTAGTGTGAAAACAGCATCTTTAAAACAGTCTTAGCCTAACTTGTAGTCAATCCCACACCCTTTGAAGAAGGGCATGGTGTCAGAGACAGTCTACTTGTTGGGCTTCTTCTGGTTCCAGGATGCACTTTGAGCACCTTGAGGCTGTTGCCCTGAAGTGCCCTTATCTTGATTTTGGCCAGCTGCGGCATCAGAATCTGACTCAGCCTTACTGTCTGCAGAGCAGCAGTTGGGTTGAGTGCAGCAAGGTGGAGGTTGCGGGCAGCATGTGCACTTTTTCGGGCAGCACGAGCATTTCTGCGGGCAGCATGGGGGTTTCAGCGGACACGGGCAGGGCGGTTTCGGCGGACAGCATGGGGATTTGGGTGGGCAGCACGGAGACTTGGGGCAGCAAGGTTTCTGCGGACAGCATGGTTTGGGTGGGCAGCATGGCTTTGGTGGGCAGCATGGAGGGCTTGGCGGGCAGCACTGGTTGTTTTTTGATGGGTCACTCATCTTCTTTGTAGTTGAAGTTCCTAGGGAGAAAAAAAAAGAATATTTGAATGACAAGACTGTCTGGAGGCCTGCTTTCCTCATCACCTTCCTTGATCTTCCTTGGTCTGAGTCCTCAGGGTGAAAACCAAGACCTTGGTAAGTAGTGCTGGACCACTCAGAAGCCACAGCTAGTCCCCAACCATGCCTTTACAGGTATCCATGTGTCTGTTCCTTACTAGGCAGCCATTTTCCAGGTAAAGAATGTAAAGTTACAGATATGTAATAAATTTGCTCCAAGTCTCTTAGTGAAGAGCAGAGAGACTCTTAGGCTGACTAAGTCACGTCATAAGCTTTATCTCATCTAATAAGAAGTACCAGTGTAAAAGTTGAACATTTTTATATACCACTTTAAATATGAAGACAACTTAAATTCAGACATCTATCTTAGTAGTTTGTAAATGGATTCAAAATGGATTCCATCTCCCCCCAGATCATGTGTATATTCAGATCTCAATGTGGTACATTAGGATTTTCAAAGCCACCAGCCATCACTCCCTTTCTGAATGTCCTGGATCACTCCATGCTCCTTGAAACACAGGCAGTCTCCTGCCAGTGGCTAGTGGCAACAAGAAAACCCAAATAAGGCCCTGCCCCAGGCATTGCAGGCAGCAGTGTAAAGCCTAGCTCTGTGAGCCACAGGCTGAGGTGGCACCATTCACATCTCCAGGCTATTATTTCTTCTCTAAGGCAGCAGCATGGGGGGTGAGGAGGAGGGGGGAACTAGACCTTGGAGGGGCCCTCAAACTCAACCATTCAAAATTTTTGCAATGTTCTTCTTCTTTGGTGAACAGTAAAATCCCAAATAACTCTTTGTTTTAGTTAACTGACCCACCTCCTGCCAAGCAAGTTTCTCAGGAGGATCCTTACATCTACTTCCTGTATGTGAGCCCTGTACATTTCCTGTGCCTCCTAGGGAATACTGATCAGAACCACTGTCATGTCTCTAGTACAGGACAGCTTAGAAAGTGACCAAGAATCACAAGCAGACACACCAGGGCTCTCACATAACTGTGGAGCAGATGTCTAAGGAAGCAGGATGATCTTGTACACCCTTGATATATACTCAGTTTACAAGACCACACATCCATGATGGGTGGTAGGTGCCAGGCCTCTCAGAGGCGTGTCATCCAGGCGGAGGAAGATGGGTGTGGGAGTTGGAGCAGTGATTGCTTAGGTGAAGTTTCAGCCACCCTCCCAACCTGTGGCACCCACAGGTATGTTTAAGAACACCTCTGGCACAAACTAGCTTTTAAAATGCAGCCAGCTATTGATACGTGCTTGAATACATGAATATTCATGTGTGTGTGTGTGTGTGTGTGTGTGTGTGCGCGCGCGCATATGCGCGCGCACGTATGTATGTGTGCTTGCTCTTTCATCATGGTGATACAAGGAAGGAAGTTATTTGAGGCTAGTGACAGTGCCTGCCAGCTGGATCAAGTAGAGATGAATTACAATTTTTCATTAGGATTTGCAGCTGGGTGAGGCCTTCTCTAATGGTGCCTGCTCTGCTGAGGTTTTGGTCTCCTGCAGTGGACCCTTCCATCTGTGTTCCAGTCCTTGTCTTTCCCCAATACTTGGACTGTCTTCTTTTTCTGTTGTACTGAACATGTAGAGGCTCAGGGACAGAAGCTTCAAGTTCGCACCAGAGATTATCTTTACCTTAGTTGGAAAGCCCTGGAAGTGGACAGAGTTCTTGAATTAGGTGGTTACTAGAGCCACCTGTGAGATGGCCTACATTGCCATGAGAACCACTCTTTATGACTTCATAGTAGACACAGGGCCTTGACTGTCCTGGGGGATGGGTGTCAGGTTCTTAGACGCATCCTTTTCCATCTGGGGATTGGACCTAATTCCAGTTTACACTTGACAAACTGGGTCCCAATGAGTCTAGGTGTGGCTGCTGCCTCCACCCTGTGGAGACAGTGACTTTCTGACAAGCTGTTGCCTAGCCCTACCTGATCTCTCTCAACTTTCTGATCCTCACTTTGCAGCTTTCACTATGGGAAGAAGGCCCCTGGCATGTGCCTAGGAGGATCTACTATACTGTTGGACGTAGACAATGGAAATCGTAGGGATACTCTGAATCTCCTGGAGCACAGTAGCATCAGGGAGGAAAATTGGAAGGGAGTATTAACTCTCTGGATTTCAACCCTCCACATCCTGAAGCTGAACTGTCAGGGGCTGTTTCCATTTGGAAGGGGGTGTGGCCTTTGGATCTAAGTCTTTAATTCTGTGACTATGCCTGCCAGTTATCTTAGGTTTTCTGTCCTTTGGTAAGAAACTTCTATTTCTGTGGCAAGAGGAAGATCCTGGTGCAGCATTCCTAAGGGGTAAGGGTGGGATAAGTCATTCAGTCCCTCCCTCCTAGACAAGAGATGCCACAAAGGGGCTGAGGTGGCAGATCTGCCTAGCAATGCCCAGACTTGCCAGAGGATTGAGGTCATCAGTGAGCAAACAAACAGAAAATGACAGACACATAGCATAGCAATAGACAGACACTAGGTCAGCCAGGAAGGGGTGAGGGGTGCCTGGGTCTCTATCACCTTGGCTTAAAGCTATTTTACAGGAAGTGTGTGGTGTGGTGTGGTGTGGTGGTGGTGGTATGTGTGTGTGTGGTGTGTGTGTGTGTGTGTGTGTGTGTGTGTGTGTGTGTGTGTGTGTGTGGTGTATGTGTGCGTGTAATCCTGTACAAAGTACATGCTCTTGAGCCATGGAGCCTTAGGCAGTGAGTTTTGAGGTGAGCATTTGTGGGAAGTCTGGACCTGTTTCTTCACCTTTTTGTCTGCATCTAGTCCTTTAAGGTCCCCAGCCTGAGACAAGACTCAGAGGAGGATTCAGCACCATGTTGCTTTCTCTTGCTTTTCTTTCTGACAGTAAAGCCCTCCACTGTTTATTTTCTCTGCTTTCTTGTCTCTACCTGCCTCCTTTTTCACTCCATTTCTCTCTTTTCTCTAACTTGAAACAATGTACTTAAAGGAGTATTCAGAGCCTCCATGTAACTTGTTCAGCTTCTTAGGATCCATTGATTTGGGTCTAGACAGGCTGTTTCCACAGCAGCAACTCTGATCCCCATACAGGGCCCCTGAGCTCTAGTCTTCATATATACCCCACCCCTGCCATTATCCCTGTGTTGGGTATGGAGAGCAAGTCCCCAGTGTTAGAGCTGGCAAATGGGTTAGGGGTCAGTCTAGCCCACTATGACATAGGCAGTCATGGCAGTCTTGTCACCCTAGATACAAGATTCTATCCCAAGCCAGCTCTGTTGCCAATGTCTTCTTGCCAACTGGTACAAGTAGCGTGTTATCCTCTAACTGAGTCTCTGGCTGCCCTCATCCCCTCCTGAGGGGTGATCCTCCTTTTATCGAGGAGTAGTTAACATTTTTGAAGCCTCCTATCTCTAAAACCTTGGCTACCACACACTGCCTTCCCTCAGAATAAGCTTCTCCCCTACTCCATACCTCTTCTTCGTAAGTCAGCTGCTCACAGACTCCCCGGAGTCCGCCCAGTGTCTTAAACCCAAGGCACTGGTCCAGAGCTACTTTCTTAAGTCTTTCTGCTATTCTGTTTCAATGAGGATTGAACTGAACCCAAGTTTGTTAAGACCCTGGTAGGGCTGCTCTTTCTGGCCTCTGCTCACCAGCCTGTCTCACTTCCAGCCACTGTTCTGTCAAGCTTCATAGGCTGGCTCAGAGCAGATGGCTGCTAGATTTCACTCACCTCTTTTTAGGATCTTTGTATGACTTCCCAGTCTTAAGAATCTTTCTCTAGTCTCTATCCTTGTGTCTCACTAAATACTATTCAAACTTGAGGTTCTTTAAAGTACCACTCACTTAAATGAACTTCCTTGGTTCATTGGTTCAGTCCCCATGTTTTCTTACAGAGTCCTGCACCAAATGCTAATGTTAGCATTTAATGACTCATTGACTTTTCCGCTTGTCTGTTTCATTAGTACAGATAGCCTCATCTTGCTCACTACTATCCTAACAACTGAAATTCTGCATGACATTATGTGGACCTCGTTAACTAAGTGATGAGTGAAGACACAAGTCAGAAAGAGAGAAGACCCACAAGATAAGGCTTGTGTATATTACCTGATCTGGTTACACACTTCTTCCTCAGGCTCCTCTTAGTTCACCATTTCCATTCTTGACTTCTGCTGTTAACTGTTGTTTTCTGGATGGGTTCAGCAGATGGACAAATGCTGGATCTTCCTCAGCAGCCTAGTGAGTCCATGACTATCAGAAGCCAAAGTCTTCTGAGCCAAGTGGCCCCCTTGCCTCTCCTCAAATCTCTGAGCTCCTCTATGACATCATAATTCTCTCCCCAAGACTCTATGACTAGTGGGCCGACTCACCTTCGCCCACTGCTGGTCCAAGTATCTGCCTCTTCTTGGCTGATTGTGCCAAAGGACAGTTCTTTAGCTGATTCACAGCATCCAATCACCCAAAACAAAAGTTTAAAGCACAAATTTTGTTGTCTAGTCAGACACACTGTATCTTAAAAAGCCAAATAGAATATAGCATACCAGGCTGGAGGTCAGAAGCACTTCTTGGAAAAGGCAATGTTTACTGGGACTTGATCATAGGAAATGGGACATGGGAGTGTGTGAGAAGAGACATTTCAGATCTGAAAAATGTAAAAGCATTTGGAATAGGAAATAGAAGAGGAGCATTTGTCAACAAAGCTCAGTGTGACAGGGTCAGAGTCAGGAGGAAGGAGGAAAGGTAGACAGACAGAAATAGAGAAGAAGACAGAAGTTGTATTGATTTGGATGGATGAGTAAGGAAGGGCTCAGATTGTATCCTGGGGACAATGGGAACCACCGGAGGAATTTACACTGGGGACATGGGCCTCTTCTCACTCACTTTGATATTCCTAGAGTTCAGCTCAATCCTTTGAGTAGCAGATTTTGAAGCTAAGTGCTGTTTCATTACCTAATGTATGAGACAATTGGGTTACAT